AAAAAAAAAAAAAAATATATATATATATATATATATATATATATATATATGTGTGTGTATATAAATTAAAAAAAGCCTATTATATATGATCGAAAAAATCCTAAGAATATCAGTGTACAATATTCACAGGAAGTAATCTGCTCACAATTCATCCAAGTTGCTCGTTTTCCACATACTTGGATTAATTATCAGTTATTAAATGTAATATGAAATATCTATAAAATATGTCAGTCAGGCGTTGTTCGTTTACTCAATGACAGTAAAAGGGTCCCTTAAGGAAAAATGTTGGGAACCACTGTTTTAACCCATCATTTAGCCAGTATTGGACACCATCAGTTGTTCCCCATTATGTTGAAGAGCTTTTAAAAGTTATGGTATTATTAGTATTATTAAGAGTCATCTTTGGTGTTTTTTCTGCATATAGAAGTTATTAACCAATGCTTTTTATGAGAAAATCACACATTGACTTTGACTGCAACTATTGCATTAAGACTTGGAAGTTTCTCCACTTCCTAATGTGCTGCAACAATATTTTGTCAACTATCACATGTAACATAAGAAAAAATGTCTTGAAAATGTCTTGAAAGCTGAAGGAAAGGTGTCTCTCTTCATCACAGGTACCAATGAGCCTCCTGATGAGACTCTGACCGTGGTTGCCATCGTCGTCCCTATTATTCTGTCTGCCTGCATCATTCTGTCCTGCTACTGTTTCAGGAGGTACGTTTTGGAATCAGGATGATAGTGCAAAGTACATGTCTGGGCACCCACATTGCTTTATAGCAAATTTTGCAATCTATTTCATGAGTGGATGTTGTAAAGTGCCACTCTGTAGGACAGCATTACATGTTTCTCAAAAACCAAGAACCAGATTATCAGGAAATATGTTGTGCATGAATGTCCTGTGACATGGAGGAACCTGATCATTCTGGTGGAACTCTACTGCCAATTGTATGCAAACTCTGACCTTTAAAGCTTCCAGGAAGTTGGTGTTACTTTTTAACTGCACCTAACTCTCTTGGAGTGCTGCTGCTGGAGTGCTTCAGGGTTCAATCAGAGCACAGAGTGGGTGTGGGTAGAAAATATTTAACAAATCGACTCCACCCTCAGGCACAGATAGTCAGGTGTTTAATCTGAGCAACAATAAAAAGAAAAATATAAGAAAGGAATGTTCAAGTCATTCAAGTCATTGCTTTCTACCAAACTATACCCACCAACCCTATCACCGTGCGGAAAGAAAGCATGCATCTACTCGAGACATATGACATCTTTGGTGCTGGAGGTATTGTGCACTGGTTGTTAATTTCTGTCATTGTGTCTCCTTGTAGGCACAGCTCCATTATTTGCCCCATCATACCAGATCCTTCTGCAATATTCAAGGAAATGATGATGAATGGAAACAAAGAAGTTAAGGTAAAGTTTAGAAAAAAATATGAATGCTCTTCTCACCTGATCTCTCTATCTCCACAATCACTCATTACACTGTTCTGTGTTTTAGACTGCAGAAGAGAGTCTGTACACGCCGATGCCAGAACCCGTTGAATCCTGCAAAATAACCCTCATCGCTGAAAACAGTATCCTCCAGCAAAACTCCTGATGTGTGCAATTACACTGCAATGCCTGCAGTTTAGGTGGACTTCAACAGTGGGTGAATTCATCAGGCACATTTACAGAATAACTTAACACCAGGCTGAAAGGCTTTGTACCTCTGACCTCTTCTGGTGTAAAGTGTCAAGTCTGCTGCACCTCTGTGTGTCACCTTTACTGTACTCAACTGACTTTGTATCAGTGCAACCAGGGAAGAACTTTGACCACTAGAGGGCAGCAAAACACAACATTTTCAGCTGCTTTTCTGTCACTATCTCAGGTAGTGTTGATGTACTCTGCCGAGGCCTGTCACGAACAGGATAAGGAAATACACTGAATCCTTGGAGCTACCTTGAAAAAAAAAAGCCACCAGGCTGTGGACCCGGAAATGTTAACAGGACAAGAAAGTTTGTCAGGCCTGCACTGTGCTGATATGCTCCCATTGAGCACTGGAGGAGGAAGACTAGGACTGGGTGGGTCATGTGTTTGGTCGGATAGATTACAAGTAGGTCAGCAAGAGCTGTATTTACTAGGAACTGTCCCACTGGGAAGAGGAGGTGTCCCTGGGAATCTGCTGTGCAGATCTAAGAGAATATAACTAGAAGAGGGGAAATGATTAAAAAAAAAGGGGCATTTGCATTGGTCATGCTCGTGGGAATGTTAAGCAAATGCAAGTATGACTGCTGTCATGGCAGCTAGACAATGGGCAGGAAGCAGTAAACGAAATGGAAAGCACACGCTTCCAGGGATCCCTAAGCAGTTCTTACAGTAGTTAAAATATGTATCTTGAAAATCTGACCATGTGGTGTTAAGCATTTTCACCCTTTCCACACAAACTTGCACCTTTTTTTTGAAAAGAGAACAATGATAGAGCATGTGAAGACATCTGACAGCAGTTTAGCAGTCATGGGTTGATTTAGCGTAATCCACTGTCTGCTTGCTAACACACTAATTCCAAAAATGCCACATCACTATTAGTCACACAGTCTTCCTTCCTGAAACCGAGGGAAGCTTTGTGTTTTGCCCCCTGTTGCTTTGTGACATTTACCAACACTATTTGTTGGGTGATTATTGACCATTTTCACTGCTTTAACAGAGAATAAAGAAAGACAACAGTGGTCGCTTGGTTGTGATTCTTGATGTTACCCATCAGTGGTTGATTTCAGTCTTCTTTGTAGTCCTAGTTTCATAATGGACTTGTCACAGCTTGTTGCTTGTGGAGCTCCAAGATGTTATTTTTTCAACATTCCTACTAAAGTAACAAAACAAAAATATCAACTCAGGTCTTAATGTTAATAAATCATACTAATGTTGGGATACTTCTAGTTTACAGATCAGTAATTAACCATAAGTAGGATTAGCTTTTGGACAACCAGGGTTTAAACAATTCTTTTAGCTGGCTTTTCATCTCCTCTTGCATGATACTTTATTTCAAAGGTGGGGACACATGTAATTGGTGGTTTGGGGTCCTCCACAAAAAAAAATTCAGCATCAAGCACTTTAGCTATTACAGAAGCGTATTGCGTTCACTTGACAAATAAAAAAGCCCTGTTTTTCTGAGTAATATTTTCTGTTTTTCTGAGTCATTTTTTTTTCTGTTATTTGTGGTAATTTTTTTTCCTGAACGAGGAGACGAAATACTTCAAAATCTCGCAAGAAGCTCCCACCTTACACCTGCAAGTGACCCCTGCATCCATGGTGAATCCTGCTCATGGATGTATTTTGCATCCGTGCTCCTGCTCCTAGACAATTTCAACTACGGGATCAATAAGGGTAAGGCATGTAATTAGTTACACACAGGGTATGATAATCTAGCTATGTTTTCGACTGCATCATTCTAGTGTAGGACTATCACTCAATATAACAGGTTAGGTTAGTAACAGGTTGTAACAACGTTAGCTGACAAACGTGTATGGGCATGATTTCAGTTGTCAGGTGGGAGCTTCTCGGGAGATTCTGAAGTATCTCGTCTCCTCGTTCAGGAAAAAAAAACGGAAAAAAATTCTCAGGAAAACAGAAAATATTACTCAGAAAAACAGGGGAAAATACTTAGAAAAACAGAAAAAAATGACACCAATAAAACAGAAACATGAATAAATTACTCAGAAAAACAGCCAGGAATGACTTCACATCTGAGCTGACCACATTCCAGTGCAAGTCAGAAAACCAACATGTTAGCAATTCCAGTTTTAGCTAGCTCAGCCATTGTTAGCAATACCATTTGATACCAGTATTACACTGTAGTTTGCACATACAAACTGTAGCAAAGTGTCCACTGATAGAAGATGGACAATGTCGTGTGTACGACTGATTTTATGAGACACAAATGAGACAGAAGTGTTAACAATCAGTGTATTACTACAGCTTTCACTAATGTTGATGCATGGAGCAGCCATATTGGATTTTGAGGTTAGGTTAATGATGTTCCTCGCACTTCATGAGTCAAAAATCCGACTTTCAGAGGCGTTCCATTCGAAATGTTTGACTGGGAACTAGGGAATTACACTTCCCAGTGCAAATGGAATGCACCATTAGCAATAGGCTACCACTTCTAGCCAAGTTAGCAACTGTTAGCAATACCAGTCATAACACATTACGCTCTATTTTGCGCTTAAAAAAAACACCGTAGCAGCATGTTCACAGTAGAAGTCGGACAGAAGTGTGTGTATGACCGACTGTTTCATTGAGACACAAGTAAGTCAATGCTAATAAACTGTTACTTAAAAGTCACTGCTGTTGATACATGGAGCAGCCATATCATTGGACTTCGAACTCGGAAAGTGTGACTTCCAAGTGCAAATGGAATTCATCCTGTATTTCCTGCACACTGGTGAATTTTAATGTACCAATTTGTGCGTTTTCTACATCAGTTTATGGTGTAGAAGGCTTTCATTTTGTCAAAAATAATTCTGTTTTCATGTTTTCTTGAGGGGAAGCGTGACAAATGCACATGTTCTGAATACTGAGGGGTACATATCGTTCATCTTAGGTTTGTCTTTTTTAGCTCTTTAGCTCATCTACAAGTTTCCGTCAATGTTTGATGTCTGAGCACCTGGAAAAGGGCTACAGATTATTTGTACATAATCCTACCATTAATACCTTGTTAGCATTTATACTAAAAAACAATAAAAAATCATAAGGACAGCAACATTTAAAATGCACAAGACTGTTGCAATCGCGTGTTGGCGAGGGCGCGTGCGTGCGTGCGTTCACGTGTGTCTCCTTGGCGCGGAGAAAAAAGAGGAAGCGCTCGCTCCGCCCAGCTCCAGCCTCCAAAACTTTTCATGTCTTGTTAAAGAAGAAGCTGGAAGCGAAAGTCAAAAGTGTACAGGGACACTTTGACTTTACTGTGTCGACTCGCCTCACACAACCCGTTACAGGCAGACCGGACAGTAGACGGCCGTGTTAAGGAGCGGGAATAATCAAAGGAAAACGTTTTATCCACACACCGACGGTCGTGGAAAAGTCCATTTAAGGGAAAAGACTGTAAAGGGATGGCCAGGAAGTTTCAAAGTTTGGCGTTGGTCGTTTTAAGCTTCCTCTCTGTGACAGCTGAAGCCCAACAAGGTAAGAAAATAGCCTCTACAGTATGTAACGTTCTGTGTTGGCCTACATTTTACTGCCTTGGTGTTTTCAACTGTGTCCTTGACGAATTTTCCAATTTTGCCACGGTCTATGACACGGTGTTTCCCAGTAATTGACGTCACGTCTGGTGGTTGACGGTTGAGCAACACAAAAAAAAACATGTAGCCTAAACTTAAGGCTTAGGTATGTTTTGGTGACAATAAAGAACTAAATGAATTTTTATACATGAATCATATCTAACATAGTAGGGGAGGCCGGGGCTGGTTGTAACGCTTTTTGTCTCAGCACCCATAACTTACTGACTTTCAATGAGCTCTCAGAATCTAGTAGGCCTATGAATAGCAGTGTTTCTAACTTCTCCAACTATATCACACAACTCAGTAACTGATGTCAAACACAAGTTCTAAAAATAACACAATTATAAAAAAAAAAATACACGTAAAAAATGATAAATAATAACCAATTCCTACCAAGGTCTAACTGGTTAACCTGTACCTGTCAGATGCTTAGTGCCTCATGTGGAGTGAGTCCAAAATCCAAGTCTGCTGCCTTGGTTAAGTAACTGGTCAAAACATCCCTTTGCTGGGCACTGAAGACTTTTTTAGTGCTGGGTAGCTGTGCTGATCCTTTTTCTCTAAGGTTTTATCATTTCTTGCAGTGCCAAATGGCAGAAAGAGTGTTATTTGGGGACAGACCTTACTGTCCCACCCTTCCTCCCCTCATCTGATGTTGATTTTAGTACATGTGCAAGTGCAGGCACAAGAACATTCTGCTGGATCTGGAGTGAATGTCTGTTGAATATCCAAGTTAAAACTTCACTGTGGTGTCTGACATTGAAGATAAAGAAAATAACATGACATTTATATAATCACAAAATTAAAGTATGGATGTAGCTATTTCTTGAGCTGTGTGGGAAAGCGATCTTTTCTTTTCAACGAGGGCAGATGGTTGCCATCAGTAGTGTGTACTGTTTGCAGTCTCCTGACAGTTAAGGCAAATATTTCTCATCTAGAGCTGTCCCTCTGGATAAGCACTGCACAGCTGTAAACAGGGTCAAAGAGAAGTCATTTTACATGAGCAGACTGAATGAAAGGAATGAATAGATGGTGGAACACTGAAATAATATGTAATCATATTTCTGTCTTTTCTCTCTCTCTACCTAAGGTCAAATTTTACAACTACAAAATGTCTCCCTGCAATGGATTAATGATTTTCAAACACAGGTGTCCTGGGCACCAGTGGGGAACTGCTCATATTATGGGTATTTGAAAAGCAGCAGACAAAGTGTGAGTATGCATATATATATTTAATGCACACATATATATTTTTTTATTTATAAATGCAGCTCAACAATACCCTTTAAATCTTTTCTGAGGAATCCTGTAGCACCTGCACCCAAGTATCCCACCAGTTATAAATGTTTAAATATTTTAGCAGTTCAGATATCTCCTGTAACACAAATAATCTCACTGCTCTGCAGTAAGCACAGCAAAAAACAGTTTACAAGGGTCACTGTTGGGTATTATTCCCAGAAAACTGACTGAAAACTCAATTTCCATCATCTCTCACTTCTACACAGACAACCACCACATTTAAATTATGACACTGGCTTTATTATAGTATATCTTTTTGTTATATGTTACATTGTTATCAAAGCCTATGTGTGTGGGAACATTCCTGACTTTGGCAACTTGTAGTTGGATTATTAAAAGAGGTGGTAGACAGCAATGTACACCACTTATTTGATCACAGTTGTGGAGGAAGTACTCAGGACCTTTAGTAATTAAACAGATGTAAGAAATAATGCATAAAATATATTCTATTACAAGTAAAAGTCCAGTATTCATCTTTTTTTTTAAAGTCTCCTCTGCACCATGTGCGGGTGTGCTTCAGATTTTGCATCTGGTCAGTTTTCTGCTAAACATCTATCAAGAACACAGAAGACCGATATCATTGTATATGGTTGATTTTTACAATATTACAGGACAAAACGGCCGGTGTGCATGTTATTGTCTTAGTGTTAATACCGCTGATGATGGCTTGGTTGTTCATTCAGTGTTTCTCTCTTTTTACTGTGGATTCAGAATATTGCTAATCCCTGGCAGAAGTACGTTGTGATGGAAGGCGGATCCCTGCAGTTAACGGTTGAAGCTACCTGTAACGGCTCACGTACATACAAGGCCACCATCAACCGGACTTACCCAGGTAGCTCATTTTGCTCATCATTATCCTTAATAACACCTTATTTTGTTCTCAAAGGTTGAATGCTTTTTAGTTGACAAATAAATGTGTTTTTAAACCATATACTGACCTCATTTACGTGAGTGTATCTGTTGGTTATGATGTGTGTATGTCTCACATTTCCTCCCAGACCTGGTGAGGGATTTGCAGTGCTACCTCTATGCCGAAAACAAAACCCGCTGCTCCTGGAACCCAGTCAGTCCACATGTTCCAGATTTCAAGTTTTTCTATAGGTATGTGGGTTTTATCATTAAGTGCTTACACAATTAAAAACAGACAATGGGGAGCAGCCCAGTAGCTCCAATGTTGTCTCAGAGTGATTAATAAACTGAAACTCACTATTATGCATAGAGAGCTGTATTGCAATATTTCCTGATACACCGTGGCTAATCTTGGTTTCATCACATACCTGAAGAGTCAGGCTTGACTCAAGTGGAAGTAATCAACAAGGGTTCAATTGAGGCTAAATTCCTCATATAAAATGGCTCAGCTTTTTATTAGTCCAGTCCTTGGGGAGTATAAGTTTGACCGTCGGCAGTGTCTGTTGACAAATGGGCAACGCCTATTCTTGAAGGCCCAAGCCATGTTTGGTAATGTAGTGTTCAATGATGAAGTTGGACTTTTACTTCCAGCCAAAAACCATAGGCATAACCAGAAATCCAAAGTAGATGTTCATGTTGTTGATGTTCAACAGTAAATTACTAACATTTGTGTCATTATCTTGTTTTTAAAAGTGTGTGTCTGAAAATATCAAATATATACTGATAGTCAATCTATTTTCAGTTTCACAAGGTTAAATTAATGCGCACCCTCCGACCCTTTTACAACCGGTGTCATCAAAAATATGCACGTGCATTCTCAAATATACCTATCTATAAATCCATCAGACTTCACCTCAGTTAACATACTCACAGCCTGTCTCACAGACATAAAGCCTGGATGTCCAGCAACTTCCTCATGTTAAACAACGATAAGACTGAAGTGATGGTGTTTGGACCTAAACCACACAGAGATTCTGTAACCCAGATTTTACTTTCATTAGGATTACAGTGCACTACCAAGGCTAGAAATTTAGGGATAATCTTTGACTCAGATCTGAGTTTTTCTAAACATTTTAGCAATATCACTAAGTCAGCCATCAGTCAAATCAGGAACCATCCTTTCTTTCATTCAGTAATGCTCAAACCCTAATCCATGCTTTTGTTTCTAGCCACTTAGATTATTGCAACTCTTTATTTACCGGACTGCCACTGAAATCCACCAACCACCTACAACTTATTCAAAACACTGCAGCTAGAGTTCTCACAAAAACCCGACGGTATGAGCACATTTCCCCTCTTCTGGCCTCATTGCACTTGTTACCGGTGGTGTTCAGAATTGATTTTAAAGTTTTATTGTTTGTTTTTAAGTCACTGAACGGCCTCGCCCCATCCTTCATTTCTGATCTCCTTACCCCTTACACCCTTCCTCGCACTCTCAGGTCTGCTGACCAGCTGTTACTTTTGGTCCCCAGATCCAGACTTGTGAAGGGCTCCACAGTTGTGGAATGCACTTCCTTTGGGTATCAGACAAGCTACCTCAGTGTCATCTTTTAAAACTCTGTTGAAAATTCACTTTTATAGGTTGGCTTTTAACTAATAAGTTTTATCTGACCTATGCTTTTACTGTTTCTTTTTATTATTCATTGTCTTATCTCTGTTTATTTTTGATTGTTTTGTAATACTGGGATGAATTGTGTATTTTGTTTTTATGTTTGTGAAGCTCTTTGTAAAGTTGTTTTTTGAAAAGTGCTATATAAATAAGGTTTATTATTATTATTATTATTATTGGATTGTGAATTTAGACAGCCCTAAGCACTCCCAGACTTCCCAGGAAGGCACCCGCAAAGTTAGCAAGTCTGCAAGCGCGGTGAAGTTCAGACATTTGGATTCAGCCGGACAGTTTCCCGACAGTTTCCAGCAGCCTTCAGCCATTACAGGAAGTCACAGAAACACGATGTGATGATGATGTCCAATATAATGTTGAGTCATATTTCCTGACCATCCCACTGACCACAAGTCTCTGTGATGTTCAATACTTAAATAATTAAAACAGTCCAATGTTAATATACAGTTGACTACATATAGCTTATGATACAGTTTAACAGTGCTCCCACTAAAAAAAAAGTTAGTCTGGAGCCCTGGTTAAGAGTGAGTTCAGCCAAACCAGGACTTTCTGGACTTCGCAAACACAGCTGTGTGCTAAGTTTGACCTCACTACTGCTGTGTCAGTTAACCTCACAAGGTTCACGCAACACTGGTGTTTCAGAGGAGCACAACGTGATAGTGCTCTAGGCTACAGTCACTCAGTAAATGGTATGCAACCAAACAGCAATCAGTCTGCTCATTTTAAGAAAGAATTTCTTGTAGTCTATTTTCAAACATGTATTTTTGTCATTCCAATACAAATGCAAATCATATAATCACTGACATTAACTGTTAATAATACACTGAAATGTGGCTATAACACTTTGGGTTTTGTCTGAATTTGAAGAAAAAAAATTCAGCATTAAAATGAGCTTTGAAAGTGCTGGTAGGCAAATAATGTTACCTCTGTAGGCCAGGCCAGTTATTTTCTCTTGTTCTCAGTAATTATGTCAAGCTAAGCTATCCCTCTGCTGTCTGTAGCTTCACATATAAGACAGACATAACAGGAGGGACCAGGCACCTAGGAGAACTGGTCTGCCTTGCAGCTATATTTTTTCCAGTGGCCACTCTGTAGGCCACTATTATAAAAGAGACATCTGTAAAACTGTTGACAGGACACCTCAAATTGCAAACAAGGTCAGTTATGACTCTTCTTATTATGAATATTTGATCCATGGAGGTTTAATATTTGTAAAACTTTCTTCAAGCCAAGAAAAATAATTTTAAAATCCCTGATGTCATCACAATGTTAAGTCTATGAGCTGAGCAGGAATTCACAGACAGAGCCAGTGGGAAAAACACTACTACTATTGAGTGGGTTGCATACCGTGGAAGTAAACCTAGAAGCTAGAAACATTTTGGGCGTATGCGCCAGATTAGCATCTCCATTGGGATGAATAGGCACCAGGAATCTATTTGATAATAAAATCTATGGCAGGGGCATGTTGAGGGCCTGGCTGTTGGGCTGTAGCCCAGTAGCAGGGAGGAAAATATGTAAATATCAATGCACACAGGCACACACACAGTGTTGCCAACTTGGAGATTTTCTCACAAGGCCCAGCCTCTCGTCTCAGCAAATTAAGGCCAAAATACACAGCCACCAAACGGCGCACATCAAAACAGGCACCTCTGTGTACAACCTCCACAGGGGTGGCAAATTTATAAGAGGGGACCAATAATTGAATATTTGTTGTTAGAGCATTTCACAGAGTTAATAAGTTTTCCCTAAATTAATAACTCACAAAACTCAGCTATTTCTTAAGGGAGTCTGGTACTTTCTCTCAGGGTGACAAATTAGTGTATTGCGATTACTCTTATTAACTGCACAGTAACATTGACAGAGGTGTGGACTCAAGTCACATGACTTGGACTCAAAAAAACAAAAGAGACTTGCCGAACTTGGACTGTAACACATGACTTGTGACCTAACTTGAACTTGAGCCTTTTGACTTGAAAATTAATGATACCTTTCTACAAGGTGAGAGATTAAGTTGTTTCAAAAGTGTGCCATGAATACATTTTTTTCTCTTTATTTAACCTAGACATGTTAACATTAATCTTTTTATTTCATTTAGACATAAAACAAAAAAAGTGCAACGACATACAATATCAGGCTTACAGAAACTGTCCTACAAATTTGGGAAGAGACAGTAATAAAGTTATTTTTTTCAATATTAGATGAGTTCACAGCAAGACAGGACCAAAACACACTAAATTCATTCTGTTGTGGTATGAAAGTGCATTGTCACCACTCCTTTTTTTTATGATTAAGTTCAGTTACGTATGCTTTAACGAACATATTTTTAGCAAATAAATACAAAGTTTTACAAATGTTCATGATATTTGTACATTTATTTTATCCCTGGCATTGCATTTGGTGAAGAGCACATCACGACTTGTTGCGGACTCGAAATGCAAAGGTTAGGGCTTGACTTCCTTTATACTAGCCAGGTCTGAGGAGCATAATGTAGGAAAATTGGGGCATTATTTAAATGTTTTGTAAATTTTTATAATTAATTGTTTCATAAATGTACATCTTCGTGTGCAGCCTGAAAGCAAATGAGCTTTTTCCCTGTCTTTCAAGGTTAATAAATGAGGCTTTCACGGCATCAGCTGACCTTAAGCCCTCTTTTGACGTCAAAGAGTGCTCATTGTACCATTTCAATGCTGAAGGAGTCAAGACTGGTTGTGATCTGGACGCGGGCATCCACAACAACATTGACATTTCGTTTAATGGAACTCTGAACAACATGTTGGCCAGGAACACCTTCAAGATAAAGCTTATAGATAATGGTATGCAACAAGTGGACTGATCTGTTGTAATTTACTATCAAGAGTTCTATGGAGCAAACATTCTGTTGAAATATGTCACACTTCCCCATTCACTCTCAGAGCTACAGTATAGGAGAAGTTGCTGTCTGTCCTTTCATGGAAATGTTTTGTCATGATGTCTAGATGTGTGTGTGTGTGTGTGTGTGTGTGTGTGTGTGTCTGTGTGTGTGTGTCTGTGTGTACAGTTTGTTATTCTGTAATGAATCCAAAACATACAACTTTGGAAAACACACACTGCAGCTATTTTAGGAGAGAAAAAATATATCTGTGAGGGGCTTTCCAAGGGTCCTCAGTGGCTTCAAAGTATATACACTGAATGTGTATGACTGGATTGCAGTTAATATAACTCTGTCATGTTTGTCTCCATGCAGTAAGACATCCTGCCCTCAAGTGGACTGTCACTAAAACTGGGAATAAATTCAATATGAGATGGACTCCTCCTGTCATCCGAGGCCTGAATTGGATGTTTGAACTTAAGTACACTAAGTGTAATGAAACTCAGGTAATGTTTTACTTCTACATTTACTTGTAAACCATCCCTATAGATTTATGTGATGTGAATTCTCTTGTGTGAAAAGGTCACTTAAAGGTACCTTGTTAAGTGTTCCCGTGGACAAGTTTACAGTCAGTATTTCTTATCAAAATGTATTAGGTGTTTCTCTACGGTCTCACAAACGTGTTAAAGGCATTTACAAACATTTGTAAAGGTCTTTAAAAAAAATGACCGCCCTGTGGTTGTATGCCTCTGCGCAGAAGTCAACTACTTGTAACTTTGTCACAATTAGCATAAGAATTCTTGAAATATGGTTGAAAACATGTTTTGTGAGGTCACAGTGACCTTGACCCTCAACCACCAAATTCTAGTCAGGTTTTTTTTCAGTCCAAGTGGATGTTTGTGCCAGATCTAAAGAAATTCCCTTAAGGTGATCTTGAGATATTGCATTCATAAGAATGAGAGAGACAAAGACACAGTGACCTTGACCTTTGACCACCAAAAGCTAATCAGGTCATTGTTGAGTCCAAGGGAATGTTTAGCCCAAGTTTGAAGAAATTCCTTCCTTCTTAAGTTCTACAACAGCCATAGCTGGAGGCATTATGTTTTTGTCCGTCAGCCCATCCCTCTGTCCATACGTCTGTCTCATTCTTGTGAATGCAATATCTAAACAAAATCTTGAGGGATTTATTTTTTTCTTCTTCAAAATTGACACAAACGTTCACTTGTACTGGAGAATGAACTGATCAGAATTTGGTGGCTGAAAGTCAAAAGGTGAAGTTCACAAAACAAGTTTTTGGCCATAACTTAATAATTCATACGCAAAATATGACAAAATTTATCTCAGCAACAGAAGGGGAGACATGTGGTCAGATATTGAATTGGTGACACTAATCTTAGGTGCCCACCTTGAAACTGTGCTGATTGTATAGATTTATGCTGCTGTGGGGAAGATGTGTGTGTGAAGCATCCATGTTTTCACAGACATGGATGTCAGCTGTAAAAGAAACTTGACTGGTAAGCAGACACATACTGCGAAGGAGGATCAGGGCCATGTTACAGAAAAAAACTTCAAGATTAAAGTCGTGAATCTACTAGAATAATTTTCTGAGAATAAAAGTCACAGATTATGACCGGAAAATTTGGTAATGTGGTAAAAAAAAAAAAGCGACAAAGAGTATACAAACAGTGTTGGAGGTGACAGGTGATGTTTTAGCAGTACTTAAGTAATATAATGTGTTACCAGCAAGACTTTTTTCCCCTAAAGTAATTGGGTTTAATGTCATAATATTGTAATTTTATTGACATTGATTTACGACTTTATTCTCATAATATTATGACTTTATTCTTTATTCACAATATGAGACCGTGAAAGTGTCGTAAATGTTGGTGTGATCTCTCTGCTGATGAGACAGACCCAAGTCATTACTTAGTGTTTTTTTCTGACGTTATGTTGTTATTGTGTTGGATGGGAGATGTGAGCACATTCCCAGTGAGATCAACCACAAGCATTATCTCTGAATGATCTAATCTTTCCCATTTCATTTACTCACTGTAAATGATATGATATTTCTCCTACTTCTTTCTCTTAACACCATTTTCTCCTCTTCCTGAAACTCTTAAGTCTTTTATAAGTCCTCTGCCACACTCCTTTCAGAGCTCTCTTAAGGGCTAAGATGCCTTGTAAATAACTTGTAAATATCTTTACCAGGAACTCTTAGAAAACGTCATAATTGTAAGAATTTTTAGAATTTGGTCACTTGAAGCAACTCTTTGTGCTAGGAATCTTTGCGAATATGACCTCAGGGGTTTACAAATTCATTCAAATGAATTTATGTACTTTACATGAGTAGGAGCCACATGCAAATTTAAAGAGGTAACCCCCAAACAAAAGAGGATGCCTACATGGTTGACTTAAATAAAGACAGTGGTGTAGTGGTTAGTATTGCAGCTATACAGTGAGTGGGTTCCTTGTTCAAACCCCAGAGTGGGCAAGCCCTGTACGTGGCGTTTACTTTTTCTTCCCATGTCAGCATGTAGAGCTTAAATTTACACTAAGGTTTGCAGTTGCTTCTACAGCTGAAACGTTCATATGATTATGACCATATTTTACACAGAAACTCCACAGAATTCAGTCATACTGTCAGATTCATTATTGTACTGGAACTAGTCAACTAATTGATCAGTGACTGTTACAACTGTGCCTTCAATTCCTCACAGACTCACGAGATAAAAGGAGGAGAAACATCATTCGAGTTGCACGCCGACCCTAACTGTCCGTACAGTATGGCTATTAGAGCAGTGGCTAAGACAAACAGTGACAACCGAAGAAAGATACCATGGAGCGAAGAGAAACACTTTGGTATGGTCATCACCCGTGTCTGTTTTCTTACCTTGTTGAAGAGTTTCTCTGCAAAATGAACTGTCCAGCAATTTGAAGCCACTGTGGTCAGGATTTAAAAATGTCTAACTTTCCTGCCATCCAGTGGATGTTTGAAGAATGACACTGGCAGACAGAAATATTCTACCCCCCTGAAGTTGAGATTAGTTTTTAACAGTGGTGAGATGTAATTAAGTACTGTTATACATACATTTACTTAAGTACTGTGCACAAATGCAAACACCTTATGATTCTACTCCATTACTTCTCAGAGGGAAATACTGGTTTTACAGATTTTACACACAGACATAGGAAGAACTCTAGAAATGTGATGCAAAATTACACATTATATAAAATTTAAGCTCAAACAGTTTGTCGAATTTTTAGTGTTTTATTGGTATCTGTTCTTCAGTAAAGGATCTGAATACTTCTCAGTGGGAACACTGGATTTAAATTGTAACTTGTAAACACTGTAGCTGACAAAGTCACTCTCAGACGATCATAATGTTGCTGATGTTTTTGCATGCAGGTGCAGATACAGTTCCTAATGGGTGGCTGTATGCTGCCATTATCATCCCAGTGATGTTCGGTGTCCTGGCAGTGCTGATGTTTGTGTGTTTCAAGAAGTATGTAAAGTCTTCATCCTTTTGTTTGGCTGCTATATTTTTTTTCTTTACTTGTCTCTAATATTAAACCCTTTCTGTTCAGGAATAAGGAAAATATTTTCCCCAAAGTACCAGAACCTCGGGACCTCCTCACCGATATTTCTGACAACAACAATAAGGTAACTGTTTTATTTTCTGTCTTGGGTTACTCCCTGATTGTCCTGTCTCCTTACATTATTAAAGGAATAGTATGACAATTTTGGGAAGTATGCTTATTTGCTGTCTTGTAGAGACTAAAATGAGAAGGTCATTACCATTCTCAAGTGATAAATGACCAATGGGAACAACTTCTTTAAAAATTGCCCCAGTATTGAGCAAGAGCGCTATAGACGGCAGGGGTGAAATTCCCTTTGGGCAGTTGAGCACAGTCAATTTACATCCACTAAAACTGCTTGTTTTTGGCACTGACAAACTCAGGTTGTTATTTTAAGTGTCTAACATCCTTTTGTCTACCCAGAAACAGCGCCAGAATTACCATCGCCAAACACATCAGACTCCATTTAAAAAAACGGTCATTTTAGTGTGCGCAAAGCCAGCATATTTTCACATCTAACTGGGTGAATTAAAGGTTTATTTCAAACAAACCAGAGCTGGTGATTGTTAGAACAGCAGAAAGCAGAACCAAGATGGTTTTCGTGAGTTTTATTTTGCTTCTGTCGACATTGATTGAAGTGTGTTTTACGATGATAAAATTACTGTTTATCTAAATGGAGTCAGGTGTGTTTGGCGATAGCAATTTTAGGGCTGTTTCTGGTTAAACAAAAAGGATCTTACTTGTCAACAAGGATGTCTACTCTGAAGGGATCATTTCCATAATGTTGTCAGACACTTATAACACCAATCTGAGCTTGTCATACCCATTTTTAACCAACATGGAACAGGTTCAATTCCAGTTCCTGCACCTGATTTTTAATCATTTGGTGCATTTTGACCAAAATGAATTGGGCCGGACCCCAAAAAAAGTTGGTTCCCAGTTAGAACTAAAAAATAGCAGGTTTTTCTTGACCTGAAGTGTGAACAGCAACAACATCACTGGGTACATCATATTCTGAAGAGAGGATGGAGTCTTGCATGTAATAGTCTTCTACTTCTTCTTATCATTAACAGTTGATCTATGCTTGATTTTTGGATAAAAACAAATATCAGTAATAACAGAACAATGTGATGTGCCATCTTGCTACTACTGTTTTTTTTTCCATTATGCATTGTGCAGCACCCTCCTTTGTTGACACATGCTTGATTACAATGGTTGCACCCAAAATGGGTTGAAACAAAATGTCTATTTCTTACGCAACAAGTATGTGAGAGAAATCAATGACTTGATTTGTCATGAACTCCAAGTTCTCAAACTTTCTTCTTCTTTTTCTCAGTACAATGTTCACAACCTGTACATCCAAGCAGAGGAAGAAGAGACCTGTAAAATCACTCTCTTGGTAGATCCCCTAAACAGGAAACCTGACTTCTGACCCACCTCTGCAGCGGCAACAACTTGAATCTACAGCAGCTGGAAGTCTCCCAAATTCTTGGTGCACTGGCTCAACAAAAAATTAGGAGACTTTACTGTTAAACTGAATCAAAGAGATTGGTTAGCCAAGTGCATCAAGTGAGATGTCAACTCAGTCTTCCATTTTATCAAAACAAACAAACAAACAAAAAATAACTATAGCAGCTACTGCATTCTGGTGCATTGTTGTTCCCAAACTGATGCAGCTCCAATCAAACTTCACACGGCTTACTCACTGTTACTTATTTAAAAACAGTAGTACAGAAGTGACTTACACTGAATGGCATGGAACTGAAGGTCCTTGTCTTATCAGCCCAAATATGCCACCGCATTACGCCAAATTCACATCAGTATTCCATATTTAGAAATCCTCATCACCATGATATATTAACACACACCAGCAGCTCCTTGTTAGGAAATGCAGTCAGTTAGTTACCTTGGAGTCCTGACCTCCACCGGGGTTGCCGAAGCTTTATGGGGGGGTTGTGAGGCCTTCTTGATGTAAAGGGAGTATGAAGACTTGAGAGGAAAAACCCCATTCATTTCTGTGAAGAAAAGTAAATGAAATAGGTATTTTTAAAGCTTAGGTTATGATTCAAGATCCAAACTTTTTTTAAAAAACCTCACAGGATAAGGGCAAAGTGAACACAAGATTGAGTGCTCCAGGAATGAATCCCAGAACCTGAAAATGAGTTAGCATTTTAGCATCCCAGATTCCCTCACCTTGAAGTCAATGGGTTTTTGGTTTAAAGCCTGAAATAAGGTGTGGGGTTAACACAAGCTTAAGAGACTTTAACGTTTTGTTCTATGCCATAAGATACGTTAAGTTGTTTGTTTGCCACAGAGCTTATTTTCTGTAGCAACCCCCAAATCCAGCGGAAAAATCCCATAGGCATTTTGCTAAAGCTAACTTCTGTGTCGGCCAGTTGAAAAACGTCATCCCTGCTGCGCTCTATATTCTCAGAGCCTTCACTCTCAGTTTAACAGCTTTGTCCTGCATTAAATAAATATGCAGTTAAAGCAACCAAAGAGGTAATGGAGCAATGACCAAGCTTTAGGTAGAAGAAAACACTGAATGAAGCCTATTTAGTATTTATGGTAGTTAAAACAAAATCTATATAAATATCAGGAAAACTCATCTCTAATACAATATTCACAGGAAATCTGCTCAAAACTCATCCAAGACTCTTGTTTTACACAAACATCCCGCAGGTTTTGCATTCACTATTTGGGTTAGCTGTACAGTTTATCAGTTGTTCTGTCATTATTGTTATACATTGGATATAATTTGTCACTTAGTCAGTTAGTTTACTGAAATACAGACTAGGGTTCCTTTAAGGAAAACGACAGGGAACTACTTTCCTACATGACCACGTTTTTCTCTGAGCATTAAGTCTTTTGTTGCACTTAATAATTCCCCTGCTGCTGTGCTTCGGGCACCACTTTCAGGTAATTTACACATTCATGTGTCCCTAGAGGTGCTGAAGCAATATAGAAAACATTTTTTATAACTTTTTTGATAAGTGATTTTTAGGATTTACCAGGCATTGAATGCGAGCTTATGTTTGGATTTTCTGCTTTTTGAGAGGGTGAAGGTAGCTTGGAGGCTGAAAACCATGTGTTCTACAGAGATTTCACCGAAGCATTGTCCTCTGATTGTTTGCTATGTGATTGGACAAAGGTGGGTGCAGCCACTTTTTAAGTAAAGACTGATGATATTTCTTTGGATTACCTGTCTGCAGAGCTCCAGCAGGAGCGTAGATAGATGTGAATTTCCAGGCAGTTGATTTTCAGCCCAAGTATACAGGCTGATAGTTTCACATTGAACCCTGCTGATCTATTTAAACTTATACTATTTAACTTGTGCTTAAATTCTCCAATGATTTCCTTTCGCCTTTTTTATTCTGCTTTCAAAACAGCTCTGAGATGTTTGTAGAAATGAAAATCATATGAAAGGTATTACATTTGCTCTCTCTTGAGAGAGGAATACAATATATTGAATGTGTAATGTTTTGAGAAGTCCAGGAATGATTGGACTTGTAAAAATCTCTTTAAGCTCAGATATACTGTTACTATTACCACCCCCTTTTTTATTCTGTTGAGGACTATGACCATGAAATGAATGAAGCACTCGTGTAAAGATACGTATGTATTGATATTGTTACTGTACAGTTTGAAACAGTGATAGATTGAATGTTTTGATGACGTGCTCAGACTGGCTAATGCTGGGTCCAACTTTTGTGTGGTTTATAATTCATTTTATGATACTCTGATAGTTTTTCAATAAATATATGTAATTTCTGCACAGAAAGTTTTTAATTACACACCTCGAAAATGTAGTTATTTTTAAAAAAAAAAACGTATCAAGCATTGTGTAGCTGAAGTAAAGGAACAGTTTGACATTTTACTTAAGAAATGAGAAACATTGTAATTATAGTTTGATTTAGTTAACTTTACAATTATCACATTATATCTCATTTGTTCGTTCTGTTATTAAAGCATATTGTGGTTTCATGGGGGATTATATGCAGGACTGTTTCTTTATTGTAATGGGCAGTATCTTCTCTTCCTCATGGACTATGGAGCAACTTATCTTGTTTTTTGGATTTTACAATATTCACTTTTGCAAATCATGACAGTAATGACTAATTCCTGTGAGCCACTGTGTATCATCTGTGTGAGGGCAGGAACAGGATATGCAGTAACTCTGAGTATTATGTTTTCTAGAATGGACAATAAAATTGATCCTAACGTAGATCCGTCGGTCACCCTGCAGAGCATATTTGGGCAAGTAGACTTGAACTTTCTAATATAGCCTAATCAAAACTCCAGTCTTTATCAGTACAATATAAGGCAATTCAGTCTTAAACACGATTAGTGTGACCAACGAAATTGAAAGCAAAAACTCTTAGAAAATAAAGACTTTCAGTTCTCCTTGGTTTTAAAAGGAAACTTGTGGAGAACAACTAACATATTTCTTCAGTAATTCTAGTCAGAAGAGGAAGTTTTGAAATATATTTGAAATTGCTGCATTTTGTCTGCTTGTGGCTTTTTCAAGAACAGTTGAGTAATTACATATCTGGGAGTAACTAAGATACAGTCAGAGCTGGTTTCTGTTTTGTTTATAGTAGTATAATTTTAAAGTCACAGCATCAGTTCAAGTCTTGCTGCTCAGATTCCAGACTTATTGAGGCCTGTCTCTCTGGCTGTGCGTATTTAGTACTGTCCAAAATGAAAGGAATACAATTGTGCAGTTTATTTTAGGGTGGATTTTTCTTTTCTAAGGAGAGGCTCTATCTTAAAACAGAAGCCTATTATGCATCATGACTTTTACTGTCACTGATAAAATACCAAGAAAAGATTAAGAACTTAATGCTCCTCAGTAACAAAAATCTCCACAAACCCTGCTGCACTGGACCAGTTCTATTTAGGTGTCCTTGAAAAGTACAAAGTCGGCATAGATGACATGAAATTAATGAAGGTGTCATACTGTGGTGAGGGGCATGTGTGAAGGGAGGTGCATAATTGGTTATCTGATGCAATCTTGGTGTAACCGTACCAGTGGTATTCTATACAGTGAGAATTCTGCACTGGCTTTTCATAAAGGACCTCCACTGGGTAAACCTAGAGCTACATATCAGAGGAACATGATGAGTCCAAGACTATGAACAGTAAACATTACAATAAAATGTCTATTTTCTATTTTTAAAAAACACCTGACGTGTTGTCACTAAGCTATTTCTAAAGGAATGGATGGAGGCACGATCCCCTGTCATCAATTAGGTTTTTCTCTCTGTGAATTGGTTCAAAATGGCGGAAGCGCTGGCTATTTTAAACCTGGCGTCTATCGCTTCTGTACTTCATTAAGTCAAATAGCGTGATATATATTTTTTATTTTAATGCGAACACGGGGGGAAAGCTCCGATAGTCACCATTTTGGCTCCGTGGAGGCTGTTCGAGCGACGAGTGTTAAGCTAGCTTGAAGAAAAGATTATTTCCGATGACGCAGTTTCAAAATAAAAGCCTCACATAACACCACGGCGACAGGGACTTTTATTTTTTCAAACTCCAGCGTTTGATTTCCGGTTACACACCTGATAACTTGACTAACTCTGTACCGCAGAGTGCAGCAACAGCACCCTCTAGTGTTCAGCCCCGGGACAGCCAACATGTCGGCTCAGACTGGTCCTGATGCTGCGAGGATGCAGAGAGCAGCGATATGAGAGGATATATGTATGTAAACCGTGCCAGGCCCGAGATATCCTGGCGCAGTCTCTGTGGCGCAATGGAATAGCGCGCTGGACTTCTAATCCAGAGGCTCCGGGTTCGAGTCCCGGCAGAGATGAGTCACTCTGTGTGCCACACTGGCAGACCTGCGGTCACTTTTTATCAGATGGAAAAGATGATGATGTTTTGGTTGCAGATTATTCTGCTGTAACCGTCCATCTTCACTGCCCGAGCAATAATGTGGGCTATGGTGAATACACTGGAAGACGGTCCAATCATTCATACTCTTTATTCTGTGAATCATTTGCTCTCTATAAATTTTACCTGATGGATTAAAAAAAAATCTCGAGCATAGATTCAGTTCATATTGAGATAGGTTAACTCATAAGAGCTGACTTGATCTGCAATGATGCCATTGTCTTACTGAGGCACGTGAGGCACATGTTTATTTCTTTACGTTTTCTCTTTTTTTATGGGCTACACTTTATATTTTTTCGACTTGAAATTCAAAAATATATATTTGTTATTATCTTAATTTTCCGTTTGAGCATCTGTGCTGGAAAAAATGTGTATGACATTTTAAAGTAATATGATATTGGGTTAAAATAGGCTGATCTTGTGCATGATATCTTGAACAAAAAACTTGAAATTTGACTTACAGCTTCAGCTTTCAACTTTATTTTGTCCCAGGAAGGCATTTGGTTTTATACCAAAGCATATTTTAAAACATAAGAGAACATAGACATACGGTATAGTGTGGTAAATGTATTTTTCTGGCCAAAATCGCAATTACAATTATACTATTGCAACCTAACCTCATACAAAAATATTTAATTAGAAAATATTTACACTACTACATTTAATGACTTGTATCTTGTGTATTTACAGCCCTCCCCGCAGGTTTCTGTCAGGGAGTGATGCTTGATATTATTTTGTAAATAAAAAAGAAGAGTCTCTCAAGTAAGAATGGTTCGCATGTATTTTGAGGATTACACCTCAGTCCCGCCAATAACACCGCCAGCAAAATGTGCGCGTGTGCGCGTGCGCAAATATTTTGGGATCCTTGCTCCAGTTGTGCTCGAAGCATACGCAGGAGGTAGTTCCGGACAGAGGACGCAAGGGGGCGCTCCAGCATCAGTGTTAGTGACTTCCCGCCGGTGTGAGACGGGAGGAACCGGCTCACTGTGCAGACCTGCTGAGCTGTGACAGCTACAGTATCACGGGGAACCATCACCAAAATCTGTAGCCTACATTATGTGACAGGAATGAGGACATGGTCTGGTTATTCATCATGTCTTCGGGCTGTAGCCACATGGTGACATCACTGCCTCATCCCAACGAATGTCAATATTATTCTAGGAAGTAATAATATCTGTGAGTAGTCCTACACTATGTTTTGCTTCCTGTAACTTACAGCAAACAGCATCTCCTCTATTTATTTGTGCTCTTATTTTACCACAAAGCTCCGCGTGACATCATGTTACTATGACGTCATGCTCAATTATTATGAAATCTCTATAGTATATTTATATTTTAAGTGTGGCATCATTCTTAAAAATAAATGATAAAATTAGGGTGATATATGTGGAGGTAAGTTACCTAGAATAACTTTACTACCAAATGACACACTGTGAACACCAGACACCAAACAGCCCCTACTACAGCAAATGTGTCAAAATGATTAGGCTATGCCTCTCTAAGCTGGTTTATTTTTTTTATATTTCATAATGTATTTTTTGCCGGTGCTGGCCTGTGTAAGATCCAGAGGGAGAGAAAAAAGGGGGCAGTGCTGTGGTGCTGCTGACGTGAGAGAGAGAGAGAGAGAGAGAGAGAGGAATGCCCCGTGAATGAGAATATGACGTCAAGTCAGAGAAACTACAGCGAGGACTACACCGGAAACAGAGCGTGGTCACATTGAGGGAACTTTTATTTCATTAATAAGGGAACATCAATAAAGAGACATTTCAATTGTTTTAAAAACGTTCTTAGTGTTTTAAAAGTGGGACTATGTCATGTACTCTTTGGTGTCCCAAATAAGTAGCCTTATAAAAATGTAAAACGTAGGTTTTGAATTTACATTTTATCATTGGTGAATATGAAATTTACCCAGTATAATTACTTAAATGTGGTGATGCATGATATTCGTTTTTTAACCAATATCCGATAGGCCAATATCTAACAATTTATTTGGCCAATAACAGATACCGATATCAATATATCTACTTTTTTCCCCCATCTGATTTTAAGTGATCATCAAGTCTCTTCTGTAGTGGAATTAACATCATATTACGCACACATACTCTTATTGCAGGTGGAGACATGAAATAAAATGCTTTTATAATATTCATTCATTGTGCAAATTTTTTTTAAAAAAAGCATGTTGGCTGATTTCCGATATTTCATTTTAAAGCCAGTATCAGCCGATACCAATGACATGCCGATATTATTTAGCATGTTAGCATGATAACCAATTCTGATAGTTCATTTTAAAGCCAATATCAGCTGATACTGATGATGTACTGATAATATCAGCATCTTGGCTGATTCTGATATTTCATTTGAAAGCTGATACTGGCTGATACCCACAATGTACCAATAATATCAGCTTGTTGGCTGATTCTGTTATTTCACTTGAAAGCCGATATCGGCCAATACCAAGATTTGCCGATATTATCAGCATGTTGGCCAATTCCAATATTTCATTTGAAAGCCGATATCAGCTAATACGGATGGCATGCCGATATTATCAGCATGTTAGCTGATTCAGTTACTTCATTTTAAAGCCGTTATCGGCCAATACCAAGGCATGCCGACATTATCAGCGTGTTGGCCACTTCCAATATGTCATTTGAAAGCCAATATTGGCCGATACTGATGATCCACTGATAATATCAGCATGTTGGCCAATTCTAATATTTCATTTTAAAGCAGATATCACTCGACACTGATGATGTACCAATAATATCAGCTTTTTGGCTGATTCCGTTTTTTTCATTTTACAGCCAATATCGACCGATACCTAGGCTTGTCAATATTATCAGCGTATTGGCCGCTTCCAATAGTTCATTTCAGAGCCGATATCAGCCGTTAGCCATGACGTGCCGATATTATAATGCCTCCCTACTTAATTATTAACATTTGTTGCTAATTTTCACAAGACTTTTAGAGACATAAAAGCATGTTCTTTAAACAAACGAGTTTCCAGCTATGAATCCCTTAACATCTCCAAGAAGGTTCAGAATGAGGACAGAGGAGTTTATGGGTTACAGTCGGTGCAGGACCTTTGGTGCCCTAGGCAAGCCCTCTCCCAAAATATATATAATTCTAATTTAAATAATGTTCTCTTACATGAACACACTCTACATACACTCCACTTTCTCACACCCATTAATGCTCAAGCATGTTCTGACTGCGAAGATGTTAAAGTGAACTGCAATGCCAGGACCAGAGGTGGTACCCTAATGGCCCATGGGCAATAGAAATAATATTCTTCACCACAATAGAAATAAATTGACACTCACAATGGTTTTTTGGGGTTTTTTTTTTTTGTACTTTGAATGTAAACAAGGTCCCAGAGTGCATAAACAAGCATCAAAATAGAGCTGGTTTATTTTTTAAAGAAAAGAAAGAAATGCTCTTGCATACACCTGACCTGTGCAGGGCTGCTGTGCCTGGAGTTGCCTCTTGTTAAAGATGATTGAGGACAGTAAACACTGAAAGGTTGAACACAAGTGATTAATTTATTATATATACTGATAGATATTATTCATATTTGTTTTTTAACTGGTCTGTGACCTCCTGTCATTTTGCAAAAGTAGCCCCCAGGCAAAAAGAAAATGTGTGTATATATATATATATATATATATATATACAGTACAGGCCAAAAGTTTGGACACACCTTCTCATTCAATGCGTTTTCTTTATTTTCATGACTATTTACATTGTAGATTCTCACTGAAGGCATCAAAACTATGAATGAACACATGTGGAGTTATGTACTTAACAAAAAAAGGTGAAATAACTGAAAACATGTTTTATATTCTAGTTTCTTCAAAATAGCCACCCTTTGCTCTGATTACTGCTTTGCAAACTCTTGGCATTCTCTCCATGAGCTTCAAGAGGTAGTCACCTGAAATGGTTTTCCAACAGTCTTGAAGGAGTTCCCAGAGGTGTTTAGCACTTGTTGGCCCCTTTGCCTTCACTCTGCGGTCCAGCTCACCCCAAACCGGTGACTGTGGAGGCCAGGTCATCTGCCGCAGCACTCCATCACTCTCCTTCTTGGTCAAATAGCCCTTACACAGCCTGGAGGTGTGTTTGGGGTCATTGTCCTGTTGAAAAATAAATGATCGTCCAACTAAACGCAAACCGGATGGGATGGCATATTGCTGCAGGATGCTGTGGTAGCCATGCTGGTTCAGTGTGCCTTCAATTTTGAATAAATCCCCAACAGTGTCACCAGCAAAACACCCCCACACCATCACACCTCCTCCTCCATGCTTCACAGTGGGAACCAGGCATGTGGAATCCATCCGTTCACCTTTTCTGCGTCTCACAAAGACACGGCGCTTGGAACCAAAGATCTCAAATTTGGACTCATCAGACCAAAGCACAGATTTCCACTGGTCTAATGTCCATTCCTTGTGTTTCTTGGCCCAAAAAAATCTCTTCTGCTTGTTGCCTCTCCTTAGCAGTGGTTTCCTAGCAGCTATTTGACCATGAAGGCCTGATTGGCGCAGTCTCCTCTTAACAGTTGTTCTAGAGATGGGTCTGCTGCTAGAACTCTGTGTGGCATTCATCTGGTCTCTGATCTGAGCTGCTGTTAACTTGCAATTTCTGAGGCTGGTGACTCGGATGAACTTATCCTCAGAAGCAGAGGTGACTCTTGGTCTTCCTTTCCTGGGTCGGTCCTCATGTGTGCCAGTTTCGTTGTAGCGCTTGATGGTTTTTGCGACTCCACTTGGGGACACATTTAAAGTTTTTGCAATTTTCCGCACTGACTGACCTTCATTTCTTAAAGTAATGATGGCCACTCGTTTTTCTTTAGTTAGCTGATTGGTTCTTGCCATAATATGAATTTTAACAGTTGTCCAATAGGGCTGTCGGCTGTGTATTAACCTGACTTCTGCACAACACAACTGATGGTCCCAACCCCATTGATAAAGCAAGAAATTCCACTAATTAACCCTGATAAGGCACACCTGTGAAGTGGAAACCATTTCAGGTGACTACCTCTTGAAGCTCATCGAGAGAATGCCAAGAGTGTGTAAAGCAGTAATCAGAGCAAAGGGTGGCTATTTTGAAGAAACTAGAATATAAAACATGTTTTCAGTTATTTCACCTTTTTTTGTTAAGTACATAACTCCACGTGTTCATTCATAGTTTTGATGCCTTCAGTGAGAATCTACAATGTAAATAGTCATGAAAATAAAGAAAACGCATTGAATGAGAAGGTGTGTCCAAACTTTTGGCCTGTACTGTATATATATATATATATACATGCAGTACACAGCCTACACACAGATGTCATCCATATTTGAAGAAAATGGTTTCAGGGTAAAACCTATGTCGGCTTTTTTTTTTTTTTTGGAGGGAAAAATGTAAATTCTTTATGAAAGTGGCACTCACAAGAATCATGTTACATAAGTTGTGGAACGTTGTAGACAGTGGTGAATCTTCCTATAGAAGATTATCCAAAACTCTAATGCTCACAGTCAATCTAGTCCATCTAGTTCAGGAACTTTTTGGATTGTGGGCCATACACTGAAAAATATGATTAGTCACGGGCCAGACAATGGTAACTGCATATCATTTCAACCAGTTACACAGCAAGAAAATCAGTTTTTCTAGACCCCCCCAAAAAAGCCAATTTGCCATAGAATATTAGATTTCTACCAAAACTGCTATGCAAGACCATGCCTGCAGACAATGCATGCACATGTACTAAAAATGGAACAAGAACAGCTTTCACTTTACTTTTGGGTATGCCTTGGATAGACATTTTAGTTGAATTTACAGGGCATTAAAGCAGTAAATAGTTTAACGTTTGTCATTACAGTAGTTTACTGGTGTGGCCCCATATTACCAAAATTGTATCTCTATCTTCCATCTTTTCAGGTCCACCACCATGTATGCTTAGGTAAATGTTTTAATTGACTAGTAATCAATCATTGTAGGTGGAGTAGCGGTATCTACTGTTCAAATTAAGACGTGCAATGGCAGGGCTTGCTAGTTCTTCAAGATGACATCAACATCACATTTAAACAAGGCTGTGCAACGTACAGTGCAATTTATTAGAAATGTGCTCAAGCCATATTTTGGTTTCTTTTTTACAAATTCACAATGGGCCATTTAAAAATGGGCAACTGGCCGCAGTTGGCCCACGGGCCGTTATTTGGCCATCCCTGATCTAGTTCATCAGTGAGAGACCAATGTTCGTAGTGGCCAAATAGTGGTACTACAATTTCTGGGGTCCCTCATGTGATGCCATTAGGTCCAAAAATACTTTTTCCAATAGACTTAAACTGGGAGAGTGATCAGTGGATACATTCTTTTGAACTTCACAACCCCTGCAAAATGATTTGTTCCACTATAAAAAATTCACTCAATTTGGTACGATAACATTTGGAAAATCTAAAACAACCGCAAGATTAACTTATTTTATCCCCATTTAAACTAGAGAGCTAGACTGGAAGTCAAGCTGCTCGGCTGCGATCGGCGGCCATAATTCCCAGTGCGCCTACTCAATGGGCCCAATGATACAGAAGAAGCGCAGATTATCTGGGTAATTTCATACTGTGGAAATAGAGCTTTTTTCACCTCATGCCCGCTGAGTAACTTTCATAGGAATGAATGGGGGGCCTGCTGCCAATGCCATATCCAGGTCTCTTAATACATCCATGGTGAGTGAACTTCACAGTCAAAACATGCCAGAGCATTTATGGGTATAGTGGAGTGGAGTGTTGGAGATCATTAGAGTAAGAGAAAATAAAAATAAAACTGCAGTACAAAAAAAAAAAAAAAAAAAAAAAAGAAGACACAATTTGCGAGATTTGTTTATTATTTTGCCTATTACTGTTAATTTTATGAATAGTACGTTAATTTATTTATTGATTTTAATACCTAAAAAAAACATAGATTTGAAATAATAACGGAAAACCCTCTTCAGTGTGCATTTTATTTTGAAAGTCATGACTGGAAGTTTCCTGTGTGGTAGCTGCTAGCTTACCACCTCAGTGTAGAGTAGAAAACGGACTGTCGCTGGAGAGCAAAGAAGAGGAGAGGGGTGAAAAAAGCAGTGAAATGGTGTAAAAGCTGAGCAAGTCCAACCCGAGTCAGGGGACAAACGAGGAGGGACGACGCAGGAGGATTATTGTTCTTTGTCTAATTATTATTAAAGTCAGTAAACTCCCGCTTTTTGATGCTGTCCTCACGGAGGTTTGAGCCAATAACGGACTTATTGGTCGGCTGAACCATGCAGAGGCTGCTGCTCCTGAGTTTGGTGTTGAGTTTTCAAACTGGTAAGACTGGATTTCTCTCTTTTCTAGCGCATAATTCACGGCGGATAATGTTTAAATGTAATGCTATGTGAAACTACAGGGGCTTTGACACGGACAGAGCCCTCCGTTGGCATTCCTTCAGAAGTATGCGCGTGTCGGGGGGAGAAAAAGAGAAAGGCATATAACATGATTTCATAGCATTCCCTTATGAACCGCAGCAATGGATCACCTTAGGCGTGTGTGTGCGCGTGTGCGTGCACGTGCAGCTACGTGTGAGCGCGCGCGCGTGTGACTGCGTGTCCGCACCGCAGCAATGGATCACCACACTTTTTTTTTTCTTTCCTTTTTTTTTTTTTTTGTTTAATGCTCATTGTCGCGCGCTTCTGTACGAGTACATGGCTGCGCGCGTGCGTGCAGTCCAACTTGAACATGACTGGTGCATGCGCGCCCACCGGCCTTAATGACCTTTTGCATATGACAAACCCTCGGTGCCGTTATTCAGACGGGCCGTGGTGAGGCGCTGAGGACGTGACGGGAATGACAGTGATTGACCAGCGCTGCTCTACATGCCAGCAGCACTTCCACACTGCTATCGCATCTGAATGGCTTGTCAGTCAATGAGAGCACTGCCACCAGCCCCTGTGGTGATCCTGTAGTGAAAGACAGCTTATATAGCTCCTCTCTCCCCGTCTCCCCCCTCACACACACACACACACACACCCTCCTGTCCTTGTATCCTACCTGTGTGCTTGACACAGAGCCCATTTTCACCCTCTCTGTGCATCTCAACAGCACAATGAGGCGTGTGCAGCATCAGCATCAGCAGCAGCAGCAGCGCCTGTGCATCTGCTCCCCCTCCATACCTGTGGGGTGCCAGGTAGGCTATTGGCTTATGATAATCACAGCAGAGTTGCTGGGAGACAGGAGGCTGAAGGAGGAGGAGGAGGAGGAGAGGATGCTTGTAATTTCTATAAGCTACCTGTTCGATCGTAGCATATCTGTGTGTCGTCGTGGCCACGCAGTTACAGCAAACCTCCCTTTTTCCCCCTCCTATTGTCTACCTTGGCTGACTGGGAGCGTGCACGGCTGGCCGCTGCTGGCCGGCCAGTCGACCACTTCATCATAGGTAGGGGGCGTGTTCGGGGAAGGGAAGGTATGGAAAGGGATGATGTCACCGTGTCTGCCAGGCTTTGTATCCCTCAGCCGCGCAGCATCCACCCATAGTGTGTTGTTGAGGGTTCACACACGCACACCACAATCTACATACAGTAAGGAGCAGGATCCTTTTCGTCGACAGATCAGGCGCTCCATGGATCGACATATGACACAATCGTCACAACACACAAACACACAGACCCCCCCCCGGCTCTCTCGATCGAGACCCCTTGCCACTGTCACATGCTGTTGCCCTGTTTGTCCACTCATAAACCGTTCAGTCCACATGACTAGCTCAGTAACACTTGCAGATGTGCGCACACACACACACACACACACACACAGCCTATTTACATGTGTGAAGCCATGTGTCCTATTGTCTGCTGTTGCACTGTTACAACTGTATAATCCATTATTACTCCACGTTGGGCTCTCAAACACAAAGACATTTGCTCTCAGAGGCTTTCCCGAAGACAAGATTAGCAGGCTGCAAATGGGGCTGCATTTTGTTCAGTAAGATTTAAAATGGTGTAAGGTCTCAAATGTTGCAATGTGGTTTTTGCATTTGGGTTGGAAAACAGAAGAGGAGTAAACATTATCCAGAGAGAGCTATTGCCTCAAAAGAGATAGGTTTGGGAGCACCCTGACTCGTATCTCTTCATTAGACAAGTAAAACAGTATTTCACGGCCTGCAATTTGCGCACACGTAATTGCCTACTAGTGCTAATGATTGGATGGTTATTAGTCGAGCAGCTAATTAAAGCTTTGGCAAATCAGAATGTTTTTTAGGTTATTTAGATCCAGTATCTCTACTAGCAACACCACTGGAGTGATTTAGTATCCCAGCCTTATACCAACCTGATAATAAGTCCCAAGCAAGCGCCACCATTAATGCAGCTGTTAAATGTTACTGCATAATCAATCATTGCAAACACATGCCTTTAACTTCCTAATGAGCAGGAGAGCCTTGAGGTTGGACTTGCAGCAGTGCACCTTCAGCCCGGACGCTCAGCTCAAGTGCTGACTCGGACAAAGGCTCCAGCGCAGGTGTACCATTTGTCAGCCTCTGTCCTTTTGTGCGGACGGAGGCCACGAGCTGCTGCCCGTACTGTGCGCTCAGGCCCTGAATCACACAGCTGTGAATCATAGACCTCAGACGGATTCCTGTGTTGGTGCTCAGCAGAGAAAATATTCAGATATTGGAGGAGTCAGACACATTCGGGGGGATTTTACACCCTGAAAAAGAAAGGTTGCTCAAGGGTGGTTTGATCAGCAAAGTTGTGCTGCTACTACTATATGTGCAATGTTAATGACTCAAAGTGGGCTGTAATAGCTCAAATAACAATGAAGAATTAGGAAAGCCTCATAAAGAATCCAGCGCGATGCTAAAACACTCTGTTAAAAGTGCTGATTTACAACATTTCATGCATTCTTGCCAGTAATTCTCTGTGACACTTTCATCTAAATAATTTCCATTTTTTTCCACTCTCTACATCTGATTCATATACAGCGACTCTAGATTCTGCTTTTCCATTTGCTGGGCAAACAAATACTCTATCACACAGCAAGTGACGTGTTTTATGTTTTCACAGATAATATGAGAGATTTAACATGAGCAGTAGTAGCTACTGGGGCTGATGAAGAAAAAAGTGCCACCTACAAAAAGTCAAACCTGTCAAAATCCTCCAATAAGGATCCTGTGGATTATCACTCATAGAACTATTTATAGCTCTATGAACCTTTCTGAAAGGCCAACAAACCATTCTGTGGTGCCATACTGAACGTTTTCCGACTCAGACACAAAAAGTGCCACTTGCAGAGGGTCAAACTTGTCAAGATCCTCCAATGAGGATCTTGTGGATTATCACTCAGGCTGTAGAACTATTTATAGCTCTACAAACCTTTCTGAAATCTCTCTGAAAGGCCAACGAACCATTCTGCTATACTGAACTCTTTCCAACTCAGATACGGAGTGACACACGTAGCGAGGCAGAAGTCTGTTTTTAATTCTGATCCCAGCTAGCGAGATGTGGCTCCGGAGCATCCTACCGTTAATATGCGAATTCGGGTCATGGTTTTTTTCACGGTATCTGAATGAAGCCTATTTACCGAAAAGCATCTCTAATTGACATCAGCCACTGAAAGCAATCACTGAACCAGTAGAACAGCTCAATCTGGGAATGGAGCCCGTAATGTTATAATGTACATCCACGCCTGTTGTTCCCCATTCAATCAACAAATTCTTGGCATTTCTGTCCTGGCGGGTGTTTGTCAATGTGTGACATGGTGATTGCTTCTCTCAGTTGATATGTTTGTTTAGGGCATTCCTCTGGACACGAGTGTCTTATAATGCTCTTTGAAGGGGCACTGGGAGAGAAAGCAGCAGCATGCATGCCTGCTTTCACACGATAGAGTAAAAACCTAATGGGGGTGTTAAAGAATTTAGTTGGATAATTCATTATCAAACTTGTGGTCAGAGAAAAATTTAATCAAAAAGTGTCGACATTTCCTCTGAGCACCCTCAGCAGCTACATGAACGTTCCTCAAGTGAAGCCCCAGGATTTAAAGGCCCCATAATCTGATTGTGTTTGACAGGCCGGGGGCATCCAAGTTATAAAAAGACGAAGGGAAAAAAAACCATCCCCTTAAAAATGTTTCTTTATGCAGAGTCCCCCGAGCAAGAGAGGAACACTTCATCACATCTGACTGAATCTATTGGCCTTGTTTTCCCAAACTGCACGGCCACATTCTGCAGCGAGGACCAATTTGGGGTGATGGAGAGGGGGAGGGGGTGGGGCGGGTTACAAAAAAAGTTGTTTGGGGGCGAAGGAGGGGGACAAAGAGGGGTAGTCTTGCAGGCAGGTGGGTGAAGCTTGATGGAGAGTGATTAGACTTTTTTTTTTGTTTGTTTTAAAGGTGGTGAGGTGGAGGCGGAGGAGGGAGGGGGGAAGTATTGTAGTGTTGGAGGAGTGGTGTGCTGGATGAAAAGAAAAGCGAGCCAGGAGAGAGGAGAGAGGGACGAGGACGGAGGAGGAGGAGGAGGAGTGGTCGGGAGGCCAGCGGCGGAGAGAAAGGGACTATTACTCAGGCCTGACTGCTCCCTCAGTGGGGACAGTGAAGCCGCTCATTCAGACAGAATATGGTCGAGGCCGGTTCAAAGGCTACATTTGCGCTGGAATCTGGAGTGATTGAACCCACATCTGAGGTGCCAGCCGAGCTCTTCCCCTGCCCCGTCCCTGCTGAGGTTAATTGGCATTAATCGGTGTTGCTGTTAACTTTCTTTTTCACTTCTTTGGCGTCCTCCTTCAACATGAGCCTTTTTCTGCTTACCAAAGTTCATTCTTTCTCTTTCTGTCCCCTCCTGGACTTCTTTTTTTTTTCAATCTGACTCTTTTTTTCTCCTCCTCCTCCTCCTCCCCCCCACCATTACTTCTCCCTCTCTTTCCATCTACCCCTTTCTCTCTCTCGCTCTCTAATAAGTTCCAGATGTGGTTCTTGCATTCCTCTGGTCGGTGGAGAGAGAAAGAGAGGAGGGGAGGGGGTGGTATGAGTGGGGTGGGGGGTGGTGGGGTGGGGGAGGGGACAGGAGGAGAGGCACATGAATTAAAACAGGGAGCGCATGATGAGGAAGAGAAGCCCATGTACTGTAACACACACGAACGTGCATTGGAAAACATGCGCACACAAGCAAAGGGGGAAAGAATGGATGCATCTGTGTGTGCGTGTGTGTTAAAGGGGCTGGGGGAGGGGGGATGTCGGTCCTGTAACCTCAAAAGTTTTGGGACATTCTCCTCCTCCTCCTCCTTATCCCCCCCTTCTCCTCCTCGCCCCCTCCCTCCGCAGGAATGTGGCTGACGCTGATGATG